AATAAGCAGGAAACAGTGTGGAGTAAAGTGGCGAGGGGTGTTACAAGAGATAATATTCAGTAGTGAATTTGCATGTTAGCATTGGTAACGCAGGAGTCTGACAGCCTGCAGATTATGATCTAGTGCAGGGGTTTTCAACCTTTTTGGGGCAGTGTACCCCTGGCGGCCAGCCGAGAAGGCAGGAGTCCCCTGGCAGCCAGACGGGAGGCGGGGGCAGTGGCCAATCAACACCCGGGGGGTCCCCCAGCAGTCAGTCGACAACTGTGGGGGTGGGCAGGGTACCCCAGATGCTGATCAGCAAGTGCGGTAGTGGAAGTGCTGGCGCCTGCTGCCAAGTACCCTTTGAGGCCCTCCCAAGTACCCCAGTTTGAAAAACCCTGATCTTGGTGGGTGTGGGGAAGATAGCAAAATGTCACTGAGTTATTTTGTAGGAATTGAACTCAGGTCTAGTGTGAAAAAAGGGTGGTGGGGGTGTGAAGCTACCAGCTTTGCTGAAGAACCAGATCTTTTGGAGTGTAAAAGTAACAAGGATTTGTCATTACTAAAAGAGCTGCTACACGTGTAGCTGTGATGGCATTGGTATGATGATGAGGCACGCTAATGGAGATAGCTATGAGAACAGAAATGTTCTATACCACCTCTCGGGTAGCAGAAACTAGACCAGTGATGCTCAAGCTTTCTGGATTCGAGACACTCCTTCACAACTCTGGTGAATCAAGTGGCACCCAACTCCAAAAACTAGTTTTATATGTTATAGTGCTTGCCTCCTTGCTGGGCAGTAGGGGAGGGAAATGTGCCAGGCAGGGACAAACCGGAGCTTATACTTTACCTCTTCACACCCTTCTAAGGAACTGGTAGCACCCCAGAGTGCCATGACACCAGGCTGAGAATCACTGAACTAGACAGACAAAAGTACTGTCAGTGTAGACATGTTTGCACCAGGGTTTTTACTAACATAGTTGTGTTGGATATGGAGGGATTTTTTTTTCTTATTGCTGCAAACTGCAGTAGTGTGGGTTATTGTATAAGCACTTCATTTGCCATATAGCTTCTAAAGGATTTTGTGGAAAGAAGAGGACTTGGATCTTTTTACTAATGGCTTCATTTCTCATTCTGCCTTGGTGAATAAATTCAAGTGATTCTTGGTGAATTGGTAATTAATAGTTTTAACCCCCCTCCAATAGGAATGCTATTGCATAATGCTTTTGAAGGGCATAGAAATATTAACAGCAGTCATTGTAAGATCTAGGATGAGCTCGTGACTTGAGTGTTTAGTTCAACTCTTGCTCATCTACAGTGCATTGTGTGTGAAGTTTCTGTTTTTACGTCTTAAAAATAGTTCAAAAGCCACAGCTTTTCATATCACCACCACCAGGCTGTCTGCAGCTGAGACAGTCTCTTTCCTTGCAATACATTTGCAATAGTTGGCAATACTGTAGTGAATCTTGACTGAGATTCTTGTTTCTTTTGTGCATTGAAAACCTGGCACTGTTTGACATTGCTGGCTTTTTAGAATAATTGTACAACAGCATATGTGTTTTTGCATCATTTTTTAGTTCAAGTTTTGTGGAAGGAGGGCTGACTATAGGACCCGAAACTAGCGACCTGGCAACTTTTTTTTTTTTTATGGGCATAACTCAGGGCCTGGTGCCGTTTTCATGGCCCGAACATGGAGCCCTCTACTGTCTCCCC